TCGTACAAACTATCGCCATTGTAGGCCCAAACAGGCCAGTTGAAGGAGCCAGTCCAGACGAAGCGCCAAATCTTGTTAATTTAATCAACATACTCTCAAACCTGGATATGTTCCTAGGTACAGAGCTTGAATACCCCACGGGCGAAGAAAAGAGCTCAGTAGCAGCCAGAATACTTGAGGCAGACCAGCAGCAACAGCCAGGCGACATTACGTCTTTCTGGGAAGAAACACATTCGCGTGATCTTTTATTCGAGGCGGAGCCGTCTGCTCTTAGCCCGGATACCCATCCCCTTGCTGAATCTATGCGGCTCCATCGCCTCGAAGATCCGCGAGGCTATGCAAATATGTGTCGAGCGGTGGCCGGGCGACGACTTGCCATTACGGATCAAGCATACATAGGGCTCGTCCCGGATACAGCAAAGGAGGGTGATAAGATATGTATTTTGCAAGGATTTAACGTGCCGTTTATACTAAGACAAATTGAAAAGCGTTATAAGTTATTGGGAGATGCTTATGTACATGGGATTATGCTAGGTGAATTATTTGCACAAAACGAAAAGTTGAAGGAGGCGATGGTTGAAATTGCAATTGGTTAAAAATGATGTTGTAATTGAAGATAAATATAGTGGGTTTGCTAATGTATGTACCCAACGGACGATATCTAGTCTCGGGGCGCTTTATTAGCGAATTCTTCACAGCAGGCCTCACCAGGGGCGAAGAAGCGAATCGTGCTCTGTTGAGATATGAAGTCACTCCTCTTAAATTGCGAATCACTCCACATTTGTACAAATTACTTACAAAAGACCTTAGTATCCTTACTATCAACGCGCAGCTATACACGTTTATCAGCATGGTTTCTTAACCCATGATTCAGCCTTTGGCAATAAATAGCTTCATACTATTTATTGGGTCGACAGTGAGTCTCATAACCCATCTCTAACAATGCATATTAATAGTTTATAATGGGCATTGAGACGGAGCGGGCGACTAACTCAGCTGGGAATTAGATTGATTCAAGTGTGTATGTTTTGTTTGGGTTTCATAGAGTTGGTTGAGCCTGAGATAGTGATACCTTTACACAGGTAGAAGTAGGTTGGCACTTAAGGCCCCCCCGCTACTATTCCATGTATCACGACGCGTTGCTATTTTCTACCTCTATTTAAAGTCTCTCGGGTCTAATAGCAGTGTGCCGGCGTCTAGAGCATAAAAAGAATTGTTGAATCATACGTCTGGTTCAATATAATCAGCCGTTAAAGCGCCCTAGTGGAGGAGGGCAATAGCAGAAACCTAATACTAAAGCAAATAGCCTTGAGGGTCTCAAGTGCGGCATTGCTGCTACAGACTTTGACCACTTCACTAGAAATTTCGCCCCTGCTATTTGACTACATATTTAGCTTGATTCTATATCCTAAACTTCTACTTTAGTAAGCGGTTAACTCTTTGCGCTCCCTCTTCTATTCTAAGAATGTCATAGTTTCCGCCACCTGTTACTTAAGTATCTAGAGGATTTCAAAAACGCCCCGGTACGGATTGGTCCGATACAAACACCTTGTCTGAGTATACAGGGACCTTGTCGAGGATCAGAGAATTCGTTGTGTCGACTGTTCATAAGATGGAACCTATATATATACTGTCACCAGTCCTTTCAGACCAGACAATTCAACTTCTTACTCATTGTACATTTACACTAACATCAACAAAAATCCATCTACACAAAGCACAAAAATCCATTCACACAAAGTCACAATGAGTTCCCAATCCCAGCCACCGCAATCCTCACAGGGCCTTCCAGTGGAGCTTGTTGAGATGCTCGTCGAGGAATTACCAACTCCACGAGCTTTGCTAAATTTCGCCTGTACTTCTTCCCTGATTCATTCGATCGTTTTTCGTAAGCCATTGCTCTACATGGTTGACGCACGTCATCACAAGCGATCTATGGATGATTCAATGCATACGCAGCCGAGTCTTATACACGCTATTCGGAAAGGCAGCTTGGACAAGATCAAAACAGTGTTAGGTATATTTCAAGCGGAAACTAACACCAAGCTTGATGCGCCATGGTCCTTGAAGAGGTTTCCTATGCCAACAGGAGCAGCTATGAGAGCTGGTCGTTTAGATGCTCTGATACTTTTGATCCAGTCAGGTTGTTGGCTCAGTGTATTACGTGATAAGTCAGACGATATCCGGCATCTTAAGCGAGATTATTTAAATTCCTGGGAGCTCCGAGGCAACGAATTTTGGAGTACTGTTTCCTTGCGCCCTGGAGTTGTATGCACTTCACGCAACCCGGACCCCTACGTCCTAGCGTGTATCCGAGGCCAGGAGAAAATTGCGATCTGGCTCCTGGAAAATATTTACGTACCGCACAGATTTCTCCTATGGATTGCGGTTCGTACAAAACTCAGTGAGCTTGTGAAACATTTTTCATTGGACAATCTAGTCCTCAGGGATCCATTGATCCACGCAGCTTTGAAATTGGCTTTTGAGACTAACTCTGTCGACTGGCTCGTAAGTAACGTTACCCGACTTGAAGCGCGAGGGTGCAGAGTTGATGAATCAATTAGGGCAATGGTTGTAAAATACCAGTAATCCCCTGGCTAAGCCCCTAATAACAACAAACCTATCGTAAGTATTCCCTATTGTCGTTAGAAATCACCAGAAATACACATAGACTGCCATGTAACTATCCCATATGATGGCAAATGAGTTTAAGTAACCTAGACTATAATGAAAGTGACCTAGTGACATCATAGGCAACTAAAAGATAACTTTTAGCCCTCAAAATTGGCCTTATACCAATGAAGATAACCATGGGAATGCCCTCTAGTAGTAATATAAACTCCTAAAATAGCCATGCACTCCCAACAGTACTTAAGCCTTTATGGCTTGTTGCTTAACAATGTTCAAAATTCCGGGGTATGTGCAATTATCGTCGAATTTTGCATACCTATCGGCTGCATTAGAAATCTGAGACGCGGATCGCGTATTCATGAGTACCCTCGTGGCACGTGGCCTTCTAATACTATCGATCTTCTTCAGTACTTCTGGCACAGCATCGCGCATGGCCCCAGGCTGTGCCAGAAGACGAAGACCGTCAGCATCTTCAATCGCCATGTTAGCTCCTGTTTGTGCCGAGTCAGTCTTGAATTAAATGCGCAATACGGTAGCTCATTCTCACCTTGCCCCTGTAGAGGGGTCATCGCATGAGCGGCATCCCCAATGAGGATCGCCCGCCCAGAAGTCCAAGTCGGCAAAGGCTCAAGGTCCTGAAGTTCCCACAGCTTAACTTCGGTAGCAACCCTAGGTTCTAGGATTAGACATAGAATCAAATCTAAGCTCATTCTTATCACTCACCTTAACATTGTTTTCAGCTCGTCGTCGAAATCGGCATAAATCTCTAGAAGTTCGTCTCGATCACCATCCGCGTCCCACGACTGTGTTGTGCTCTCCCTCTCTTTCTGCGTCTGAAATATCCATGCTATGTTCAACCAAGCGGTATCACGAAGCGGATACGCTATTGACATTCGTGATGTACCATCCAATGCTTCGACGATACGCATATATCCACGCCCTGCTTCACGTTGCTCTTGCCACCATTGTGGTAGTCTTCCAAGAGCTTCCTCGGTCTTTTCCGCCGATACGGCAATACGACAACATGTCATCCCTGTCTTGGAAGCGTTGACGGGCTCATCGAGTATCTTATTCCGTAATCGTGAATGGATACCGTCCGCGACTGTCGTCTCATGTTAATACTCGTATTATTATAGAATTTCACATGAATAAATATAAGCTTATGCTCACCTATGACAACATCTGCCTCGACCACAGCTCCATCCTCCAAAGTGATCTTCCCGCCTTCAGGATCAAGATCGATAGCGCCGTTATTCCACACAAACGCTGCCGGTGCTGCGCTCGTATCAAGACCCAGGTCTTCCGGCCGGGCCGTGGCTAACCTTAGCAATTCCGTGCGGGCATCGACACGCATGTGGGCGACGAACGGAGCGCCATATCGTTTCCTCATATCGTAGTCGAGGCTATGGAGATGGCTTCCGGTCTTATCGACCGTTTTCCAGCCTCCCAGTTCGACGGAACCTACGCGTCTGTAGTCAAACCCCATGGCCTCAAGAATGCGCGTAGAGTTGGGATAGTTTGCGAGCCCCTGCCCCCCAATTACAACAGAAGGCTCCCCACGCTCATACACCGTGACATTGTGCTTCTCCCGGAGAATACGTGCTGCGGCCAATCCGGCAATACCGGAGCCCACTATAGCTACACGGAGGCGAGTGTCATTAGTGGCCATATTTGTTCGTGTTGATAGAGAACAGAGTTGGTGATATGTAAGAATAGGGGGAATCGTTGATTGTTTTGACTTTAGGGTAACAAGAAAATGCCTCGCTTTTAGGCTGCGGTACACGGCATATGTCTAGCATGTAAGGTATGACAACGATATCAGTCCGGTCAAAATCTACCCCTCACCCATTTGTTCAACCCATTAACGCCTACATCGTACGGGTGGCTTCTTAAGTCAGACGACAGAACAGAGCAACCAAGCTAAAACCCCCCGGAGGATCAACTCTACTATCGCCCGAATTGCAGCGCCGAACCCCCACGGAAGTCCGAGCGGGGATAATGCTGAGTTACGTGAACGTCTCAGTCCTATTTGCCTGCACACGCTAACATGACATCAATTTCCGCTTGAAATTAATTGTCTAGTATGGTGATGGCGTGCTCCTGCTTGTTGGTGTTAGGTAACTTCCAGCGACCTGGCTGTTGTATATCTTGTAATGATACATGTATTCTATATGTTTGGTTATTATGGAATAAATATCTGCCTGTAATGAGCGCTAACCTTACCATAGCGACGCACTTTTGGAATTCTATTCTAGCTAAACGACTATGTGGTGAGAGAAAAACCTGAGTGTTCTCTCGATGAAGGATATGTCTCCTACATTCTCAACGGTTATGTAGATCTATAAATCGACACGTTGAACAACATAAGATCTCGATTGGTCTAGTGGTAAGGATACCTGCTTGTCATTTGTAACGAACAAATCGCAGGTGGCCGGGGTTCGATTCCCCGATCGAGAGCTTTAAGTATAACCAATGTTGGTTTGATTTTTAAGATCCCTCACCAATTTTTTCTCCTTGCAAGCATCCTTCTTGCTTCATTATACAATACCATTTAGCATACATGATTTTGGATTCTGCGCCCGGTATCTATCCTCGATGAGTTCAAAGCTTTTTTCTGGGCAGTACCTTAATGTAAGTACCTAGGTGCCTACATATATATAGATCAAGGTCCTTAGCGGGGTACCTACCTAGGGCTGCTACATGCATGCGCTAACATGATGGATAGGTTCAAATGTTGAAGTCTCTTGTCTTTTTTAAAACACAACCTCAATGTCAATTACAAGCTCGAAATGACCTGGACAAGACATTAATCTTGATATGCTGTCTATTTACAAACTAAAGTCATTGAGATGTCCATGTTGAAGCAATATCTATACATAAATAGGACTGACCTCATATAGAAAGAAGCTGATAACTAACAACATGAGAGCAACCATATTGTAACCGAAGAACCAAAACTTCCGAGCTATGGGAATATGTTTGCAGCCACACCGAGCGACCGTCCGATTAATCTAACACTTTTCTAAAATCTACCGGCATCGACTTTATATATCAAAGAGCTGCTTTGATAGCAACAGGACCCAACAACTCCTTGCGCGCCTCACCACCCCTAGCACCAACCGCGACAGCGGCGCGGTTCCCCTGGTGTATCGTCCATTTAATCGGCCCATCCGGCAATTCATCGACGCCCAAAAACCCCTTCAGGCCATCGACAGGGGGTATCTTTCCGTTCTCGGCCGTCGACTTGCCCCCGTAGCGCTCCGGTATACACTCGATATCAATCGTTTCTAACAGCGTGGTCAAAGCATCTGCCGACTGCACGACGTCTACCTTAGACGCCGTCTTTGGATCAATCCAGGGTTTTATAAATGCCCAGATCCTGGAAAATGATGGCGGCGCGTTAAGAAGATATATCTTGCTAACGACCTCCGGGTAGCATGTTGCTAATAGCCCGGTGATGCTATGCGCATAGCCCCGTATATTCCAGGCTTGCCTCAGGCTTACGTGGGTTATGTCGACTAGGTATACGGCGTTGGAAACTGGCGTCTCAGGATTGGGCCGGTCGGTCATTGTAGAGCATAGCGGTAGCACAAAACGTGTTAAGTAGTCGAGAGTCGTAATTGCACGGGATGTGGTCTGGGATGGGGTGTATTTGTGGTAGCTAGCGAAGTTTGGACCCTCCACTGTAATGGTCGGAGTTAGTGATCATCATCTCAAAACTCTCCTGCGAGTGAGCTAGAAGTGTGGCAGTGCATTGACATGATGCTGGGTTGAAAAAAGAGTCTTGGCATTCTCGCAAATATCCTGTGTAAGTAAAATAGCGAGAAATACTTACGGTAAACTGTATCGAGTGTGCATATTGGCAGGCCATGTTTAGTTCGGTGACCCGACCAGTGGGGGTACTAATACCACGATATGTTAGTTTTCTTAAGACTTAGAGACCGTCAGATTATGAGAACATACCATAGTACGCAAGTGCTCAAAATCGGCGATATCTATGCTATTATATACTTCGGCGGCATTAACGGATTTCCGAATTGAGTGGGCTTCTTTAAACTGCTGCAGTGCTCCTGAGACATCGAATGAGCGAGCACAGAGAAATCGACTAAGAAACCATCAGTGAGTGATTGCGAATGGGAGGGTAAGGCGCATATCCCGTACAGCAAGGTGATCTCATCAGTCAAGCCATCTAGAGCGTCCTCCGCCAATAGGCCGTCTGGGCGTTCGAGTAATCCTTGATCGCGGCATTGTTCAACGAACGACCGGAAACATTGTTTCTCGTGAGCCGTGAGCCCGGTAGTGGAGACGTCCAGCGCTCCGTTCTCTATTTCAATCATCCCCAACTTTTCCGTGGTGGAGCCGTCAAACTGGCCGATATCCGTCTCGATCTCCATCTCGCTTGGCCTCAATCCTCCGGTGGTGTCTTTAGATCGTACGATATCGAGTTGATACTCTTATGAAAGATATAGCCGGACCAGCAGGCAGAAGTAGCTTACTGGCTACTGGAGGCCGGCACAGGGCCTGTGCAGTCTTATTCGATACCATTTCCTATTACCTGCAGAGCCTGGAAAAGGGCTCAGGTAATGTGCTTTTTGCGGATGATCCCGAGCTACTAGATCTACAATCTGGGTCGGATTGCTCCACCTGGCACTCTCGGCGCTGCCTTTTCGGGCCAGTTAACAATGTTATTAGCTCGCTTCAATCAATTCACGGGAGTGCGCATATGCAAGGCCTTCATAATCCGGGTGCTGGTGCTCCTCGGGAAACTAACTGTATATAGCCCATCTTCTTCATAGACCTAAGGTATTGGCTGAAGACTTGGCCTACATCCTGCTCAGTAGTAGATCATGAATAAATGACTGTGGAAATGTAGTTACTCAAGTAATTAGAAGCATGCGGTTCCGCGGTAGACGAAGATATACAACTAAGGACCCAAATTAATTGGTTACGGGAATTGCCAAATGCGTAACTTCAGCTGAAGAGCACTGAGCAGTGCCAAGTGTACCCATGTACTTATTATCTATGAATGTGACAATACTAAATTATAGATGGGGCGCTTGCATGTCGCGCCTGTGAGCGCGAGCATGCATCAGCATGATCATCTTTCGTTTCTTTTTCATTCTAGACCGGGAGCTCTTGGAGTCGCGCCCGTATCCAAGCGCTGTAGCCGGCGAAAAGGCCGATGTGTTTCCACATATCGCAGAACGAGGCAATCGCCTTATATCGCTCCTTAATGTATTCTCCCTTTCCTGGTTGATCTCGCACTTGGAGTTCGCAAGCAATGGCGTGCGCTACCTTTTCTAAGCATACGGGGCATAGATATGGCGGCTGCCTCACGTCCTCTGCGATGCCGGATGTTCCTTGCATGATACAAGCATAATAGACACAATGGCCCATACCGAAACAGTGGCCGAGTTCATGAACTAATGTGCGCGCAACGCGCGAAAACCACAAACCACTCCAAGCTTCGATAGTTGACGGCGTAGCGGCACCCCGAGCTGCTTCAACCGCCTGGCGCAGGGGTGAGTCTAGAGTTTCGTACACAGACTTTATATGGTCTTGTGGCTCTAATTCTTCTACGGCGCAAAGGCTGTCGGTAAACCTCTTGCAGTGAGACGCCGGCCACATATGCTCATGGTCAATATCCGCATCTACATCGAGGGCTGGGTGATACCGGGCTGAGGAGACGACGCATACGCGACTCCCACCGTACGCACGACCGCAGCAGAAATCGTCATCCTCATCCTCGTACATATCGAGATCTGTAAGCAAAACAATCGAATGCGCATCATCTGGCAGCATCTCAATGGCCGCATCTAGGAGATCGTTCAGATTCAGCTGCCTCTTGAACCTTTTGTCGGGGGTTTCTCGAGTGCGTATACGAGTGCAGAATTCGTTGCACGCAAGGCCGACATAACCATGCCTATTTCCCGGATCGGTTTGCCGCGAAGATTGTACCCATGGTACGAAGCGCAACTGCTGCGGGAAGAATTTAACGGGAAGGCCATGATAAAATGCACCGAGGTACTGGAGAGAAGCTTCGGCCGAAGGTGGTTTGCACTCGTTGAGCTCACTCGCGATGACTGTTGTTGGCTGTACCCAGCTATTCATGAAGCTCACTCCTGATGTGATGATTGGCGGTCCAGCAACATACAGAGTCTTGCGTTCGGGTCTAAGCTTATTTCGTTGACTTTCCATAAGCCAGGACCGAAACGACTGAGGCAGGCAATCAGGGTCCCAATTCAGCTCATCCTTGGGCAGCAAAAGAGGGCCCGGAAAGGAGGGTGAAAGTCGCGCCGCAGTCTCCTGACTCAGCTTCTTGATCACTTTCGCAGACCTCTTTTTACCTGCAAGAGGGTTACGACCGGCTCCTGTGGTTGCCGAGAGTCTTTTTGCAGGATCCAGCCGCTCAAATCCTGCCTCTTTAGCCCAGGGAGAGCACTCAAGGAGCAACTCATTATGCTGACAGGCGCCTTTATCAGCCATCTTGCTTAGCGCACCAAAACCCAGCAATCTCCTCAAACATTATCGTTAACAAGGCTATTCGACCAGTCAAGCTCTTCATTGCAGTCATCTTTACTTATAACTTGATCATTCGGCGAATCTGCCTTGCCATACGAAGTATGCACATGAACATCGAAGGCTGTGCTCGGTTTGCTTCTATCTAGGCTAGCTAGTGGCTGTGTTTACCGGGTGAGAGGTACCTACTTAGGTTAGGTATATCTAGGTAGGGACATCGGAGTTCTTCGTCTACGTTGATGAAGCATATTTTCGCTATATCGATAGCATGCATCTAAACCTAGTAAATCCAGATCCATGCTCAAGCAGGAAGACCCAAGGTTGGTTGGGGTAGCCCCACATGCATGACGCACACCTGTTTTTGTCTTAGACAGAGAATAGAGGGTTACATATGTAGGGGGGTACGTATGAGCTATAGGCGTACCTACCTAAGTGAGGTAGTGAGAAAGTATGCTGAACCTAGGTGGACGTAGGCTACTGTATGAGGTAGTCGGGCAGGCAGTAGGTAAGCACCTCTCTGAAACATACCTCCTCCTATCACCAAGCAAGTTGACAGAATACTCACTTACCTAGGCCTAGTACAGCATACCTACAACCAGACACTAACCCATATCATCGGACCGTGCCAAGACAAGCCGATCCTCATCTCCGCCTTGCATCCTTGGTGTCTTGGCTGTTGCATTATTCGCGAGCTTGTTCTAGATAACTTCATAAATACTAGATAGAAACCTAACCTTCTAAGCGCAACACGTCGGATCTATTCTTAGACTTCCAAACCCGAGGGGATCACACCCAAGCCGCATCGTCACATTGTTACATTTACATTGTCCTCGCTACTTGGCTGAGCTGTCAGCTATTGCTGCGCTCAAATATATCTATCTCTTTTGCTCGACGCTTCCAGCTATTGTCGATCAACAAACCGCGCCTCACAATGGCGA